CTCTTCCAACACACCTGATTCAAATGATCAGCTCATCATCAAGCTCTGCAGAAGCCTGATAACGATCCTGATCATTTGAATCAGGTGTGTTGGAAGAGGGAAACGTCTAAAACATGCAGGATTGTGGTCCTCGAGGACCAGGATTGCCCACCCCTGAACTAGGTAGTGTCACAACAGATGATTGACAGATGCTCTTCAACAGAATTTCCAACAAGGTTTCCCATTTATTGTCTACGTAAGCGGCCATGAAAGGCCTTCTGGCAGCGTTGCGATGTGTTTCAAGAGACAGAGCATCACTTTGCCTGCTCCTCATTTGCTTAAAGTTCAGCTCTGATTGCCTTTAAACACCTCTGGAAACTCTAGCATAGTTTTTAAACTAACATTTGCAGATCCCAAATGACTACACATTCCGCAAGTGCATTGCTAATTTCTGGATTCAAATCTTTTCGTTTCGGTGAACTCCTTTCGCTATATAAGTGAAAGTTCCCAAATGAGCCGCCATGTTGGTCTGATGTTATAACCAGGAGCAGTCAGCCGACAAGTGAAGCATTTGTCCAATCAGGTGCAGCCGACGTTTGTGGGTGAAGCTTGTGTTGGATTCTTGTTGAAGAGCACATGTCGGTCATCTGTTGTGAAACTGCCCAGTTGTACGCTCACCAGGCATCAGATGTTGAGAAGCAGGAGGATCAAGAAACCCCCACCAACAGGCTTCACCCCGTATGAAAGTTTTTTGGAGGTTTACAGAGTCCTTGAGTTATGACTGCACACCCCGATTTGCATTAAGCAGCCGAGACCTTAACTTTATGCAAATGAGGAGCAGGCAATATGTTGCTCCGTCTTTCGAAACGCATCGCAACACTAACAGAATGCGTTTCATGGCTGCTTACATAGACGATGAATGGGAAGCATTCACATCCAGTGGGCACATACCATGACTAATCAGATTCATGAATCAATAGACAGATAAGCACTTTTTATATGTTAATTATATGTTAATTAAGTGGTATTGTTTATCACACTAAGGCTGCCATGTTTGAGTGGATTGTTTGTGTTCAGGGTGCGTTACCTGCAGCAGGTGGTCCCAGGAGCATGGGGACGCACTCTATAATGGTGACCAGTCCAACAGCACTGGGGAAGCGTTCGTTTCCCATCAGGTCCATGAGGCATTCGAATATCAGGGCGAAAACCATGCCAAAGCCTATGCCGAAAAACACTGCGTAGACCACCAGGAAGGCGTAGCTCTTAATCAGAGGGCACAGTAAGTGGCACGTACCCTGGAAAACCATGGCAAAGCTGAAGAAGTACTGGATTCTGGGCCTGATCCACTTGCTGTTGGCTATCAAGCCGGTTCCAGGACGAACAAACATGTCAACAAAGCCCATAATAGAGAGGAGATAGGCGGCGGAGTACTTCTCTACGCCTTGGTTAATGGCATACGCCGAGAGGAACACAATGGGCGCATAGGCACCAAAGATGAACATCACGTTTCCTATGAGGTAAATCACGAATCCTCTATCCTTGAAAAAGGAAATATCCAAAAACGTCTTTAAGTTCTTCACAAAGCTTCGTTTTATCTTTGTGTTCTGCTTATCTGGTTGTTCCACTTTCTTCGGTGGTGCACAAGAGGACGGTCTACAAAGTGGAGTGACAGGCCTCATCAGGGCCCCAGCAACACAACAGTTGAGCATCATGCCCCCGAGGATAAGCAGACTTCCTCTCCAGCCAAATTGGCCCAGTAGATATTGGTTAACTGGGGCCAGGAAACAAAGAAACACTGGACTCCCAGCCATGGCCAGTCCATTGGCGAGAGGACGTTTGGCTAGAAAATATTTACTGATAATGGTAAGGGATGCATTCAAGTTTAAGGAGAGTCCACAACCTGTATAGAGAGAAACAATAAAAAGACAACAGTCACATTTTAAAAACCTCCAGTAAGAAAACCTCACTAAAGCTGAACTCCAAAGGGTACTTACTAAATTAAATTAAGAGTGATTCTGCTTGGTGCTCATTAAGGTTCCATCTCATTTCACTTTTGCCAGCTAAAATCTCATTACAGAATGCTGGAATTCTTTCAGAAATAATTTCTCCATTCAAGTAGAAATAAATTAGGGAGCCTGGGTAATACATTCACTCTCTTGCCTTTCTACCCAGAAAATTTTAATTTAATAGCACCTTATTTTGAAGAAGATGAAGAGCTACAGCTACATGGTTAGGATGCTCTCCTTCTCTCCTTCCAATGTCAATTTATTCTTCTTCTCTCGATCCATAGGAAAGCTCATGGATTTTTTTTTTGTTTTTTTTTCTCTATTTGAAGTACAAACAGGGCATTACTCTATGATGTTTTATAGAAAAAGTGTATTTCAGCAATGTTTTTCTTCCATTTTTCTTCCATAATGAGAAACCCAGCAACAATCTCTTTTCTTTTTGCTTTTTCTGCATTTATGAGTTACTGAATTACTATTGTAAGACAATGTAGCCATAACAAGTAACTCGAAGCACTGGAGAGGATAGTTTCTGTGTTGGAAAACTTATCCAAGGGTCAAGACAACATTTCAGATTTCTTAACAACTCATAAAGTCTTTGGCAATCCAAAGATCAAGTATCAAAACGTGGCAATTTATTGTATATTAGTCCACTTACTGTACTGTCAATAAGGCCAGACTTGGCCTCCCACACTGTACAAGTTGAGGCTTGAGGACACAAGAAAACTACGGAACCTTTACCCTTTGTTACCATGAGCAATGTCCAAAGGCATTTAATTCATTCCCTTGGTGCCCTGCATTTAAATTTGCGTAAAGGTTCTCCAAACAACCAGAAGGATTCAGCAGTACAACGACAAGTTCATCATCCCTCACTAGCAGCATAATTGTTGGAACACCGCAGAAAAAAATAAACTGCATTCACATTCTAGAAAAAGAAGTTATGAAAAGTCCTTCACTGTGTTTGGGGTGCTTTTCTATTAAATGATCATTTTTGAATGTGCAGGTATTTGTGAATATGTAAGCATTTGTCTGCATGCCTGCTGGGTAAAAGTGCCTGATGCCTATGTGTCAGTGTGCCAGGGCACAGGGGAACAGAGCAGGGCGCCCACATGCCCCCGGGCACCAACCATGGCCCGACCACTTGCTGGGCCTATTAATCCTTCACGGGAGCCCTTGGCAGGGTAATGAGCCTCGTAGGGTGGCAGAGAGCCCCCATGTGACGACCATGATTGGAGCCTACGGGAGAGTACAGAGGGCCATGGAAGACCATGCTCTCTGGGATCAGAGATGGCTCTGTCTTAATTACTGTCCTGGTCCTGGTCCCCTTGGTGCTCCAACTGCACCCCAGGAGCCGGGGCAGACGCCCAGGGCTCTGACGAACAGCACGGCAGCCCAGTTAAGGGAAGCAGATCTGAACCAAGAGATTCTGAAAGGATGGGAAAAGATGCTGATTGCCAACCTCCCAGCCGCAGAGGGGCTTAACCAAGGCTGATGGGAGCAGTAAGCAAAAAAGGTAAACAAGTCTGGGATTTATCGCGTGAAATCTTCTTAGTTCAATAAGCTCCCAAATCAATCTGCCTCAAACTTTTCAGGAAGCAGTGAAACAAAATATTGGAAAGAAAGGAAAATATTTAAAGAACATCAAATGACTGTACCTCCGATGATACCAATGCAAAAGTAGAGATAAACGATGGAGCTCCCAAAAGATGCGGTTGTCATAGAAACTCCACACATCAAACCGCCCGTTATGACGACTGGTCGGCTTCCAAAGCGAGTGACCAGCATACTGCTCACCGGTCCTGCAGAAAAAGACGAGAAGGACAAAGAACAAGCGGCTGATTATGTCCTATGTATTAACTGTTTTAGCAATTAACTTGCCTACTACTTTCAGGTAAGTTAATATGATACATATAAACCAAGGGTAAAAGGACATCACACCGGGTGATGGAACACCTCCACACTTTTGCGTCCGCCGCAAAGTAACCCGGCAACTCATTATACTTTCCCCTGATAATGTAAAATACTACACTCAGTGATCAATCAGCAATTAAACAGCCTTTTATATGCTGTCACCCTTTCCTTCACTCATAACCTTGCCTGGAAGAGTGACATTGCACCAGCAGACTCTCTGCGGCATGCCATGATGAAAACTTCCACATTCTGATTGCTATTAATACCAGTTGTTTCCACATATATATTGAATTTATACAAATCATGTAGAAATTCGAGAGGAGCGTCACTCAAGGCTGCCACGATTACTGAACGTGCGGCTGCTTTTCCAGAAAATGTTGGATGTGCGGATGGTGATGAATGAAAAGCAGAAAGCGGAGCACATGTTTGGTAGATACCTACTGTTCTTGGAGAGCATGTTTACCTTGGCTGATGATTAAATGTGACAAAAAGCTGCAATTATTTTAGCAAATAGAATCTGTGTGAACAAAAGTAGATTTTTAAATTCATGCAAAAGTAAAGATATTTGTGTATTTATGTTTGCTACAGCCAGCCATGAAAGATTTCTATCATCATTATTATTATTCACATATAGAAAAGCCATGGTTATCTCAGAGAGCATGAGTGACTGTTAGCTGTGGATGGTTTAGCTCCGCAACAGCAGCAGAAACAAGGTAAGACGGTGCTGCTACAGACTGTTACTGTTAGTTCATGGCCGTTAAAGTTTGTGTTCGGTGGGTGTTCAGCGCTTCAGTGTGGGTCAGGGACACTCAGCTGCAGATGAATGGGGTTGGAAAAATGAATGTGTCATTTTGATATGCTTATAAATATTCTGATAAAAGCAAAAAAAAAAAAAAGAAACATGCTCACGAGCCAGTTTGATCCATGTTACATTTGGTCATGATTGTTTTGTTTTTTCGTCATAATAATACAAATCATTCTGATCATATCGTGATGACGGGTAGCGTTGCAGTTAGCCCTGTTGACTGTATTATTTATCACCCTGTTATACAGAGCAGCTTGCAGGTTGTTTTTGTACCGACTCTGGTGTAAACAGGCTCTAATATTTGCGACCGTAAATTTTCCATGTCAGCTGAAGAACGTTTTTAAACCGTGAAAAGAAAAGGAGATGTCTGTAATGATTTGACTGAAACAAAATAATTGATTCGACTAAATATCTTAAGTTTATTGAACTTTAACAGTTTAGATTTATAATTTGACTTTGACTGCAGTTAATTCACCTTTTCAACACAGCAAAGTAACTTATGTTTTTAAACTGAATTAGCTTAAAACACTACACTAAAAACTATTTCAGTGCAAACACACGTACATTATGCATGCACAAAATTAGTAAAAATGTATTTTTTGTCGCTTCTGCTGAGCAAATGTAAAGCATTATACCTCAAAACTGTATTTCCAGTGCATGAAATAAAAATATCCATCCCGCTGTTTATACAGTTAACCAGATGCCAGCGGGGGTCAAAGATAGATCATCTTTCTCACTGTCTCTGTGTCACAATAGGGCATTTCTCGTACTACCACCATTTCCATTTCCATTATAAGTTTATCATTCGGACTCCTTGTGTCAGAGGTTTTCTGAAAAGGCTGTCATGTCTCTCCCATGGGGGCCTGGTGTCAGACCCCAGTGTGCCGAACCTTCCTCTGATATATTCCCCCTGTCTCTCTCCTCCACTGGGTGACATTGCTGAAGCCTTGCCAAGGACAATATGATAAAGCCCTGTGCCTGAGCCACGGTGGAGGGGAATATTTCACCAGTTAGGCCTCCCTGAGTTGAGTGCAGGTGAGTCACATACCCTGCTGTCCGGTAACCTTGAAAACAACTACTGATGAACTCGTGTAAATCCTTTACAAGACTTTCTGTGTCATCCACCGATGACACAAATACCTATATTATGAAGATGGGGCGCACGTTGTGAAAAAAAGACTTGCTTCACTTATTGTGGAAGCTTTGGCGCGACTTCTTGGACTAAATGATGAATCGAAATATCCAAATTACAGGATGTGCGATTTTCTAATAAAGCTAAAATGTGTCACAAACTATTATTATAAATGAAGCATTGTGGTGCTACGGTGATGTCCCAGCCTGAAAATCATATTGTATTAAGGTAGGGAAACATGCATGTTTGGAAAAGACTGCTGCAAAAATCCTATCATCAGTAAAAACAATGATTCCATCAGAATTGTTAAGATACTGCGACATCTTTCAAAAATAATCACAATATGAATTTTTTTTGCATATCTTTCAGCTCCTACTCTTAAACTGCAGATCATCCTCTTTCATTATACAAACTCACTGTTCTCCTAATGCAACAAATTCACCACTGAACCATCAACAGTATGCTCTATTTAACGGGACAAGTAGTTTTTTAATGTTGGTAGAAGACTACATGTCTCTTGCTCTCTCCACAACTCATCTCCTTTAAACTAAACATTACAGGGATATTTGTTTCAGCCACTAAAATACATTTTCGAGTATTGTGTAAGGATGACTCAGTTTAAAAAGCCAAAAATGATGAAAACCACCATACAAAAGTAGTTTGAAGGTGTGAGTTACTGCAGTTACTAGTTCCTGGTTGGAGATATAACGCGACAGCAGTGAAGCTTTGTAAATATATTCCTTATGAACCTGAGCATTGAATAGGAAAAGCAACAGCAACTAATTGGTGAGGGTACTTAAATTTAAGTCAGGTGAGTAATACACACTGGCAACATCCCTCCTATTAGGCAGCCTACAGCTATTTCAGTCACTCATGTGAAGTCAATTTATCAGTTATCCATCCGTCCAAATGAATGGACAGTACAACCACACAAAAGCTTGTAGAAAATGCAGAACTTAAAGGATGTTTTCCCCCATTTGCTATGAAATCTGGATGTTCTTCTTCATAGTTTGGCCGTAATGCTGTTTTACGTGTACAAATAAGCACCACAGTCGTTGCAAACACTGAGCGTATCTGCAGTCTGCTGGTTGTTAAGTATTCTTTGTACTCTTTCTGATCTGTTCAAGTACAACTTTCAACAGGAGACGTAAGGCGCTTTCAAGAGGGTTTGATCAGCAGACCATCATCAGTGCCAGTTCTTGAAGTTATACTTGATGTGTGAAAGCCCTGCAGGAGCACAATACAATACAATACAAAGGAACAAGAGAAAGAAAAAAAGTGTTCAGCCTGGTTAGCCTGCAGGCTGTTATTGTCCAGCCAATACAAAATGCATTCTGCGGCTGTGTAAAGTGTAAAAGGTGCTGACTACAGAACATGTGATTACCACTTGGAATTCCAAGCAGCTCAGGTTGTTGTATTGAACCGGTTGGCTTATTGATGTAGCATATCTGCTGATCTTAGCTTGTCACGGCTGCATCAGTGTTTGTCAGCTGATGATTAAGACACTGCAGAACAGCAATGCTAAACACATGGTTGAGATCGCTTGGAGACATCGGTGCCATTACATGGTTCAACCACGAGAAAATAAAACTGTCCCAACTAGAAAATATCCGTTTGGAAAAAAATACATTCATTTCATCAGATTGCTCATATGGATTCTAGATAAGTCATTATTTCAGGTGTCTTTTTTCTTTAAATTACATTTTGACGTACATTCATTTCTGACAACCATATTCCTGATAGCTGAGCAATATCAAAATTTAATCTACCGTAAATCCCAGACTATAAGCCGCCACTTTCTTCACACGCTTTGAACACTGCGGCTTAAACAATGATGCGGCTAATTTATGGATTTTTACTAGTTTTACGAATTTGCCTCGAGACGTAAGTGACATTGAGAGCGAAAGAGAGACTGAGGAAGTGTGTGAGGAAGTCGTTCTGAGGCTGTTCAACTCCGACACTGAAGAAGACGACTTCAGTGGTTTTAGTGCGCAGGAGGAAGATAGCGATCTATGACTTTTCCTGGTAGGTTGGGGGAAAAAAAGCATTTACGGTACATATTTGTGTATGTGACTGAAAAGTATACTAAAAGTTTAAAATCTTATGTTACAACGTTTTAAAGTTAGTGGGTGCGGCTTATATTCAGGTGCGCTCAATCGTATGGAAATTGTGGTAATCACAAAGATGAAAGAAATGTTCAGATTAGAAAAATATGAACTGAGAGCGCTATAGTTTGAATCTGTGGTTTATTTAGGTGTCTTTTTAGGGCCACATGAAGCATGTTTTCACTGTGCCCACCTTAAGAGCACATTATTAACTGTAAATTAGACTGAACAATGTGTTGTTGTATCAGGAAACACACACATATTTATGGAGACTAAAGATTGGCTAAACAAAAAATCAATGTAATTAGAAGGGAACTGTAAATCTGTGCCTTGGTTTAACTGCTACCAGTATTGATGTTGCAGTGTGAAATAGTCTCAGTTCAACAACAAATTTAAGAAGCACATTATTGACACGTGTTCCTGGTTAATAAAATAATAAAAACAACTCATCCGTGAAAGATCCTTCATTGCTAAATTGTTCACAGGGGAAGCTACTGATAAAAGAATCTATTATTCCATATGAACCAACCAAATGTGTGACCGGATCGACTCACCGCCTGCATACATTACAGCCAGCATGATGGAGGAAATCCACGCTATTTCGCTGGAGCTGGCCCCTAAGTCCTCTTGGATATCCTTGAAGAAAATGGAAAGGGCTTTGGGTGTTGAGTAAGCAAATCCAATGGAAATGTGGGCCCCGAACACCACCATCCAGCCCCAACCGCCATCCAGGGGTTTGTAGCCCAACGCATCTGCTGGAGCAGGGGACATGATCCTGTTCAGGGAGTAGAACATGTGTGAGGTTTTCAAACCAACAAAACGACTAAAAAAACAGATATTTAAAAGATTAGCCAGATTTCAAAGGGCACTGATGAGACACCAACTGAATCAGAGCTTTTACTGTTTCCTGATGCTGTGAAAGGTTTGTTCAACTAATTTGTAAATACAAGAGCAGGCAATAATGAAGAGAAACACAAAAGCTGTTTTTCATCAGTAATGAAGCTCATCTGTAATAAAGCAAGCGAATGTTAAAATAACTGTGATTTCGAAGTTCATAAATTACTCAGTGGACCTATAAATAATGGAGCTGTTACTTTTTTTGGCACCAAATGGAGATGTGTCATATCGTACTATGAGTAAAGATTCTTTGGGGGGGATTCAGCAGAGAATACATCACCCTCAATATTTAGAACACATAAAAAAAATTAGGTGTAAAATTATAACATTGAATAGATGCAAACATGTGTGAAGGAAGAGGTCTTTTTCTCCTCAGCACTCAAGTCTTCTACTAAAGTATGACCCAGGCGTTCATACAGCTCCTGAACCTTTGTGGCGAACAGAATTACTGAGCGGAAACCTTGCTGACACACATGCGAGCTATTAAAGCCCAGGGTTTTATAAATTCATTCAAATCAATCCATTATTCATCGACGTGAACAGGTGCCGCACACTCGTTTTGAAGAGGGTACTTTACCGAACAAAAAACACAAAAGAGGCCGGAAGATTAATCCAGCCTAAATGTAAGTTGCCTCTGCAGGCATAATATTAAATAAGTAAAGTTGATTTATAGGAGAGCAAATGTTCCATTAATTGCTGAATAATACTACTTGAATAAGTGTTTTCTTTTACGTAACACAAGACATTTCCGCAATAAATTAATGCGGGAACAGGGGCGGAGCAAAGAGGGGGTCCAAGGTGGCCCCAGCCAAGTCTGGCCTCTCCACTCAAGCAATAGTGAAGCCAGTTGGACGACTACACATGTCCTCGCACGGCTCAAGTCATATCCAGTAACGCTTATTTTTCTGGCAGAACTTTTTCTTTTTGTCTGCGACTGTCGTTGGATGACTTTTACCAGCCCCCTCCCCCAAAAAAAGTGTATAGACAGTGTAAAAGCACATGATTTTTTATATGTAAATAAAGAATCTGTTCATGTTTTGTTATAAGTATGATTTCGGTTCAGCTGTGGATTTAACTGAAGCTCTTGTTCAGACCTATTAAGAAGAGCTCTCCAAAGAAGCAAAAGGCTGGATGGACACAGTGTGACGTCTTGACTTGGTGGAATAAGTGTTTTCGTATCCTAATTTAATTTCAATTATTTCATGAGCTTCATCAACGATTAACAGTCTGACTCCAAAACTTCCGATAGGTTTGAAATTGGGGTTTTTTTTTTGGCACAACTACACCATTTATCAGCTAGAATCTGCCAAAACAAAAAGAATTGACCTGTTTTTAACTCTCCCATGGTCTTTCAAATAATCCTATGTGACTTTGGCTTCCATCTGTGAACTGTACTCAATCTAGGCTTAAAATTGTGATATTTCACCAAAATCACTGCATTCTACGTGTCTCTTTAAAAATGTTGCCAAGAGATAAACCATTTACACTAATCGGGTTCTGTAACAAACTAAAACTTCTATGCAACTTGGCACAACCATGAAGCCATTAGTGAGCCAGCTGCCACCAACAATCATGAGACAAAATTACAGGGACTTTACGCCAAACCGCAGGCTGCGTTTACACAGATGAGACTGAAGACAAGTATGAACAGAAATTAAATCTATAAGCACTAAAATATTTACAGTATGTAGAGCCATCCTCCCCCCACCCAGCTGAGTCATTTGTTTTTCAACTTTTGTCAAAATAATTAATTCTTTTTAGAATTTATGACAATTATACCTTTTTTTATACAGCACAAAACAACATGTGTGGGTTCTCTCTGCTGTTTCCATAGAGGTGCAGGAAGATTGTTGCAGTAAATAAAAACAAGCCCACAGTGAGGAAAATGTGACATAAGCAAAATAGACAGATGACACGGGAACTGGTTGGGGTTCAGAGGCTTAAAACAAAAAGCATAACTTTAGCAATTGCCCCAGTTGTGTTCCATGAAGAACTGTACATGAGTTCTCGTGTACTTCTACAGGGCAGTCTTGCTTCCATAAGCACTTAATAAAAATGAGTAATCCAAACAAAAATGACAACAATTTGCTCAACAAAAATAATAAATAAATCAACAAGACATTGTGCCATGCCTATACAAACTGTCTGATTCCACAACTGTTCAGAAAAATTCACGCACATGTTTTTTTAATTTTTGCAAAATAATTCATTAAAGAAATTAAACTGTGGTTATTGCACAAGTGACATTTCTTGAGTCCTCTCTACATCTAGCCATGGTTGTGTGGTTTCCATATATTTGTTTGCTGTGAAAAATGAGCCCACAGTGAGTAAAACTGTAACCAGAGGGGGGAAAAAAACAACACATGACCCCATAGAAACTTGTTGGGGTTTAGAGGATTAAAGAACTTTAGCAACAGTTCCACAGTTTCAATCAATTGAAATGCAAATGAAACGCCTTTTTATCTCCACTGTATGACTCCTTGTGTACAATAAGTGACCACAAAGGACTATTTATCTGACAACAACTTGCTCAGAAACACACAAATCAACAACATATTGTGCCGCCCCCATGATTAAAAAAAAGAAAAAAAAAGCCGGTTCCACCATTGCGCACGGGCACAAACTTAAAAACTCACGACAATGCAGGAAATGAAGAGTTTGGTGCTAAATATTTCCTGGAGGGGGGGAAACCCTGACACCTCCTGCTTGAGTCGTCGCCCCCTAAAGCCCACGAATGAAACATAACAATTAAAAAAAGTGGAACATATGTCTTACTAGCGCAGATCCAACTACTTTACGCAGCGTTTAACGCCAGTGAGGCATCACTAACTACACCTTCTGCTTCTCTAAATCGCAACAACAGCTGATCAACCCAGCGATCACCGACCTACAGCTGCCTTTCACTGTGACATTTAAGTTTTTTTCTTTTCGTCCTGACTAACAATCAGCTCTTCCACGAGGAGTCGGAATGGAGGAAACACTTCTACACGTGGCCACGCAGCGATCGAAACCAGCGAAAACAAAGCAGCGCCACAGTCGAGCCTTCGTGCGTAAAAGTCGGAGCGTCTCATGAACGCGTTTATTAGAAAAGTCCAACTTTACCTTCCAGTGAGCGCCTCCGCAGTTTATCTGTGCCAAAGTTGGCGACGCAAGTTCGTCTGCTTCTTTATTTGACGCCTGATCACGTGTGTCACAGCCTGTCCCCCCCGAGGGAGGTTTTCTCTACAGCTTTCACTACTTGTGGATCTCCCCCCTCAACGTCACGTCTCTGAGCCTGGAGGTCACAGTGCTGTCTGTGGCGTGACAACAGTGTGACAAAAAACACAAGAGCCTCCAGTGAGCGTCTACATGCAGAACAGATCCATCAAGAAAACAACATCACATACATGTCAAAGTAATAAAGCCAAAACCAACAAACTTCACTTTTAATAGTTTTATTTTCAAATTATGTGCAATGTGAATTTCACAGTTGAGCTCAACAACCACTATAACCCGAAAAACCCCCAAAAAACCAGACAAACCGGCAAAGTAAAAAGTGAGGAAAGAAATTGGAGACACAATGGAATAGCACCCATAAAAGCGATGCATGGAGATGACCAGAAATGACGGCCACCGACTCTCCAACACAGAAAGCAGAATTTGTCCTTTTCTTTTTTTTTTGTCTTTTTTCATATATAGCTTGCTGTATTACATGACTGGTGTTTGAAACGTGGTGTAACAATGGAGTTACTTGATCTGTAATGCTTAGTTTCAGTGAGATGTTACAAAGAAAGAACTACTGTACTACAGGAAAAAGAAAAAAAAAACAAAAACCTAAATGCATCACTTGTGCAGGTAATCATTTTTTTTCCTCAACAGAGCAGGATTACTCTACCATAACTAAATAGATAATTACATAAAAAGGGAAGGAAAGAAAAAAAAAACAGCCACTGGAGATAACAAAAAGAAAAAAAATCACATCTATTTTTTTTTCAAGTTATAAAAGAAACTGAAGATAAGTTTAGAAAACTGTGCAAGTACAGCAAACCTATAGTACAGTATATTACACATAACAAAAAAAAAAAATCTTAAATACAGTACTGTGTATCAGTAGAAATCCTGAGAGTTCTCTGTTCCTGGTTCTCAAATGGCCATCTGTAGACATGTAGATGAAACTCAGACCCACACTCGCCCTTGATGAGGGCTTTCTGGGGGGCATTGTCCAAGCTGGGTCAATGAAAAAAAAAAAAAACATCAGCTTAAAGTCCATCAACAGTGGATCTTCTCTTGGAGAAGTAAATCATATCCTCAAGTCCTTATAGAATGCGACTCTTCTGGTATTAATTTCCATGTAAATCTCTTAGATGATTGCTATGTGGTTACCAAAAACCCTTTTTAAACACAATAGAGGGGCGCTCTTTGTTGAGATACAAGGGAAATGTGTAGTGCAAAGATGACACAGGAACCTGCATGAGGAAACTGACGGCACTGAAAATGTCCCACTTTGACAGGGAACGCCGCTCAGCGGTGGCATTCGTCTATACAAGATTGTCAAAAAAACAACAAACAAAAAAAAAAAGCAGCACCAACAGTTTGTGTCCTCTGTGTGATGGCGTGTAAAGACGGATTCATGGCTGTTTAGATGAATTAGCACACAACCCGGGATCACCCTCGCTCGTGTAAATAGTCTGCTTGTTCAAGAGGGTGCTTCGTAAAGTTTGCAGTTAAGGACCGCTGAAGTGGAGAGTGATTCAGTGCAACGCTGAGTAAGACTATCAGATATTCTTCATCAGGAGGAACAGTTTTTGATTCTGATGCCCCTTTTTTCTAGCCACAGGCACATTGGCATCACAAATTACCTGCACTAAATTACACATCACTTCAAGCCTGTACCCATGCAACAGCCAAACAATCATTAT